AAAAAGCAATACATATGTAAATTTATAATAAATTTAATAATAATATGAAACATCTTTCAAATAGTGCATGTTTTATTTATAACCTGCATATTATTAAAATTGATATTTTTTAATATATTTTTCTCTACTAACAAATGTATTTTTTTTATGAAGATAAAAAGAACAAACAGTAAAAGTGTTTCATATTATTATAAAATAAGTACTCTGCCATTAGCTTTACAATTTTCACTACATATGATAAATTTTAATAACTATTTAAATATAAATACAAATAATATCATATTTACTTGATATTTACTTTTTGCATATCTTTTGAGTGAATTATAGCTTGATAAAGTACAAGTTTATAAAAATATATGAATCTTCTATCTTTATATACAAATTAAAAATCAATGTGATACAAATTATTCTTGACTAATTATCAATTACTTTATACAGAATATAAATTAAAAATGTTTAGAATAAATTTTTTCAATTTATTGCAAAAATATTATGTTTTACAGCATCTTCATCAACTGTGGTTTATTAATAATTTCAGAAAATTTTAAAATTATGCTTTTAATAACATATTTCTTTATTTTTTTTTTATGTAAAATTATTTTTTTTTTTTTAGTAACTCTGTATTACAAGGTTATTTCACAAATGAGTGTTAAAGAAATAATTTATTATTCATGTAAATGCTGTGCAAAATAAAATTTCTAGCAAGATAAAGTATAAATAAAATTACTGTAACTATATGCTAAATCAAATACAGAATTTCTTATTATCTTATTTACTGTAATCTAAAGATGAAGACAAAAAATTATTGTAAAAAGAAGGTCCAGTGCTTTTTTTGTGAATACAAATATCTATATAATTATATTCCATAAACTACATAAGAAAACATTTTCAAAAAAAAAAAAAACAGAATTTCATAACGTAGAAATCGATTGTTATTGAAAAAAGAAAATATATATATAAATAAATATATTATTAATAATACAATCAATAAAATTTGAATCATCCAGTGGCTTGTTCAGTCATTTTACATGTAATTATGAAATAGCTTATTAATGAAATTTTGTATAAACATAAAAAGAAATGTTGATGAACCATTAGATAATTTTAATGCAAATCCTATAAAAAGTTTTAATATATATTAAAACTATCTCCCAAACGCAGTACATGGTAAATTATAATATAAAGAAATCATTTTAAAATAGATTCAAGAAAATATTTTCATGTTATTTCAGAATTTTGTTATTTTATTTGATTTCTTTTAGAAATAACATAATACAAGAAAATTATAAATGATTTAAATTATATAAATTAAATTTCATAAATTACCTTATACTGCGTTTCCTCTGTATTACATTCAAAAACTTATTTTTGTGTAATCGTTCGTAGATTTAACAAGATTGTAAATAGGATAAGATTCCATACTTGTAATAAAATAAAAGAAAAAACTCAAATTATGTTTTGTGCATGATATTTACATTTTATTTACAAGATAAAATATTAAATTATAAAATTATTTGTTTTTACAATTATAATTGAAATAATGATGTATTTATATAATACTTATTTTAAACGTATTATAAATCATCATGAATATTTTGTTAAAAAAATTATATACAAGAAAATTTTATAAATATTTCATATCTTTAAAAAGATATTTTTTTAAATATATAATCTTTTTTAGCGGTTTTCTTATCCTCTTAATTTTTCTACATGTTTGGTTTTTATATCAATTTCATAAAGTAAAGATTTTGCAAGATTACTAGCATTAGCCTGTTTATTTAAAAAATCAGATACTAATTTAGAAGGGAGCTTTCCACCTCCGTGTGCTAAGCATTCTTTCCAATATCGATTGCCTGCTGTTCGATTGAAAGGATCTCCTTGAAAATATGTTTGCCATATCCAAGAAGCAATTGCTCGAGATACTAAATAAGAATAATATTTCGCACCATATCCAACTAAATGAGAAAATCTTAATTGCCATGCCTAAAAATATAATTTTTTATTATAATTTTTTTTATTATAATAAATTATTGTAAAAACTAAAAAAAAATTACATACAGTATTTTCAACATAAGGAAGTTCATAGTATTTTCCTTGTATTTCTTTCAAAATTTCAGTTGATGACTTTTCTAATTGCCCACTATGATAAACTTGATCTAACATACTATAATATATCTGATTTTGTAATTCAGAAGCACAAAATATATTTTTTGAAGCATATAATTTATCTAATAATGCTATTGGTATTTGTTCAAAAGTTTGAAAATGTCTAGCAAATGTGGATACAACCTAATAATATATATTAATATATATAACTTATAAATGATAAAATTTAAAGATTATGATTTTAAAAAATTATGATTATAATTTTTAATAACCTACTCTTGGATCACTTGCAAAATATTCCATTAAAACACTTGGAACTTCTGCAAAATCTGTACTGCATCTAGTTCCTGTTACATGCTGATATTTTGTTCTACCTAGCATAGAATGTAATGCATGACCCATTTCATGGAATAAGTTTTCTACAGAAGAAGGACTAAGTAAACATGGCTTGGACCATGTTGGAACTGGTAATGATAACATTAATACTACTATAGGATTCTAAAATAAACATTTGAATAATGATAATGAAAAATATTATTAAATTAAAATATACATATACAAAGTATTCATTATTCCATTAAATTAATAAAAAAAAGTAATTCAAATAAAAATTAATCAACATTCAGTTAACAATAATAAAAATTACTAAAAAATTATCTCACCAAAATATTATCTTATTATTATTATTTTATTATTTAAAATATTTATCAAATTATTGTCTAAAAAATTATATAATTATTATAATGAGCACCTTGTATATGTATATATTCTATATAAATATTTTTTCTTCATTTAAATTATACTTGATAAGATCCATCAGATAATTGCCTTCCACCTCTAATAGTAAAATGACAATCTTGATTAGGTTTTCCTTCTCTTTCAAAAAAATCACAATATATATAACCTAAAACTGCTTCATTTTCATCTATTACAGCAATTTTATGTACATTATTTGCCCAAACTTCACCAGGTAAAACTGGTACATATTCCAATCGGATACCATATAATGCTTGTATTAATATATTAATTCCATCCATACAAGCACCAAGTGAAAAATAAGGTGCAAATTCAGTAATAGATATATTTAACCAATTTCTTTTTGCTTTTGCTGTAAAATAAGCTGTATCCCATGGCATTATTTTCTAAATATAAAAAATAAAAAATGATGTAAATTTATTAATTTAATAACATTTTTTTTAAATAAAATTATAAATAATATCTAATAAATTTGGCAAACCTGTTTTATGGGTGATTCAATATTTTTCATCTTTTGCATTTCATTAAAATCTTGCATTGTTTTAGACTTTAAATTATCATTTAAGATATTAAGAAATTCATATATTACTTCAGGTGTTTCTATGGTACTTCCTTTAACAGCTCTATAAATTGTTTACTTTTAATACATATAAATATATAAGTAATATATAATTTTAGTTAATTTTAGTTTTATTAATAAATATTTATGATCTACCGATGAGCATAAGATGAAAATCCACATAATTTAGCCAAAATATATCTAGAATTTAAAAGTTCTTGTAGCAGATATTCTTGTTCCTCATCAGGATATAGAAATATACGATATGCAGTTTCTCTAAGTAAGCAATTAGGAGAATCTACATAAAGTCCTTGAACATATATTTTATTATCCTTTTCTGTGAAACTAAAACGTTTTTTAAAAAACATTTTAAATCTCATATTTTAAATGAAAAAATTATTTATTTACGAAACTTACTATTGTCTTATATTAGGTGGAACAATACTAGAATCTACTGCTCTTGTATTACTAGCACCTGTCATAAATTTTTGACCTACCTATTTGAAAAA